TACACATTTATCTTTTCATGAATGATTTGTTGCTATAGCTATAAAATGAAATAAAGATCATAAGGTAAGCGATATAAATAAAGGTGTACTATGAAGTATAAATTTAGAAATCAAAATTATTAGGTACATTTCAAATGAAAACAAACAATTGTATACACTATATACATTATACGCTGTACTTATATACTGATTATACTGTATAAAACTATATTATTTACTATATCTATGCAGTATGTCTATTGTCTATACCTTACCTATACACTGTACAGTGTACATGTTTAAAAAATAATTATTATTATTCTTATAATGACAACAATAATATTATTAAGCCAAATTTATATTTTATATTTTATGTTTACCTTATTCTGAAACAGTTTTAAATTTGAAAGTCACTAGAAATAACACAATGGTTAAATAACCTTTTTTTAAAGTTCACCGTTGTATTATTTTAGTTTTATTATAACCGCTACTAATTCTCATGCAGGTAGATTAAAAGTATTTTCCGGCACAGGCCGCAGATACCTGCATCTGTCATATCCAGCTATACTCAGAACCAAAGGCACGAAAACCTAGAACATATAGCTATAGAATGTAGCATGTATATTATATTTGAGTGTTTTTTTTTTTTCAAAAATAGTTCAACACTATTTAGCTTTTAGGGACAACACTTTTTCTAAATTAAAGTTTAATAAACCAGAAATAACATTTTGTAAAACAAATATTTTAACTACAAAACTTCAAGCGTATAAGAACAATTATAAAAAAAAACAACTAGAAACAGCTGGATACTGTGACTTCGGAGTATAATCCTGGCTCTACTTTCGCACAGTCTGATATTGTATAACTATTGTTACGAACTTGGAAAATAATTAAAAACAATTAAATTTAAAAAAACGATCCTAATATAAGACAGTGTTAAGTAAAGTAATACAATATGTTATATTATTGTACGTAGATCGAATATATTCGATTAGATGTGTACAAAAAATATACATATTTAATCCATACAAAACCATACCCATCATTTAGCTTAAACAAATCTAAAAATAATGATGTTGAAAAAATTTTAAAAAATTTAAAAATGTAAGTACCTCCTGTCCTTAATTAAAATTAAAATTATTTATGCTTGCCTGTGCATTTCTATGTTCTTACGGTCTAGGGTGCTGCCAATGGTCGCCTGTCCTCAGAGGCGCACACGGGGGGGTATATTCATACAAATAATTGTAAGAACAACCAGCCCCAACCCCCTAGGAAAAAAACCTTTGTGTGCTACTGAATTTCTCAATCCTCACTCCTGTATGAATTCACCGGAATGTTAACTATTAATAATACATGTCAAGATCGTTGAGATGTTTTGTGGACTAACATAATCAAGGGGAACTATGATATAATATTAATCTTGTATTCAAATTTCAAATTTCAAATAACATATTTTTATTTTTATTAAATATAGGTAGTATTAATAATATTAATTTTCTAAAAAATGTATTCACCGATACGTCCGTATTATTGTTGTACATAAAATGAATGTGTTACTAAAATCAATACATCGTTGTGAAATTCATAAATTTTGCTTCTTTGTTCCAAATTAAAATTATAGCAATATTCTTCGGAAGTCTCATTCTAGTAGATGTGTGTTAAATACAAATTGTTGGACATAAATTAATCAATTAACACATGATATACATGTCCAATACAAAAAAAAAAGGGAACATTTCGAAAAGTAAAAACGTATCTAAAAATGTACAACTATAAAGAATAATTTCTCCTAAAAAAAACCATGATATATATTTTGAATGTATTACTGTACAGCTAGGTCAAAATCTGACATGGTATATATGCAAGTCAAAAAATCATTTACGAATAAAATAAATACCCCCAAACATCTCCGGAATCCTTAGCTTTTTTCTCAGAATCTTCACAGAAAGTATTTGTATTATTCCATTATTTTCTCAAAAAGACATTAAAAAGTGTTATTTAATATATTATTATTATACATTTATACTGTACACAAAAAATATCCTATACATTTTCCATTGCTGTAAATTTAGGTTGCTACCTATATGTTGAATAAAGAGAGGAATTTAATTTTAAAAGTTTTTTTTCTGTAAAAGTTGCTGTTATTAGTTAGATTTAATATTCTAATATAATTATATAATTTACTTCAAAAAAGTTATGTGTCTATTCATATATATCTATAAATTTATTAGAAATTCAACAATCTCATATTTACAATTCTCAATATATATTTTTAAAAATTGATATTTTATGTCAATCATTTTACTATTAAATTTAGAATCATTATTACCTGCAAAACCTTTAACCTGAAAATGTAATATATTTTATTCTAATTTCCAATCATAATAACTTTAAAAATCAAACAGTTTTTTGATAGAGTTGACTTATTGTATTTTAAATACATACAATACATCTTCTTTGTTGCCACCAGCCATTAGTACAAAAAGCGCACTTAAAAATAGTCTTGATTTGATAAAATTCAATTTCAAACTTGTTATTCATTGTTTACTATGACTATTCGTAGGTTGAATCTAACTGTTAGGTAGTAAATAAATTACCTTCTATATTACATTCAAATGCTTACAATATCGCTAAAATTATAACAGTACAACTTATTTGTATGAATAATGACTGGCTTCGTGACTGACCAAAAGTGGAGTTAAGTGGAATGGTCCAATAAAATAATGATACTTTACAAAAGTATATATAATTATTAAAATTTAATAGAGCTAAATAAATACATTTATGAAACTAATTATTCAACTTGAGTATTAAAATTTTAAATTCTTACATATATGTAAGTAATTAGGTATACCTAATATTTTGGTAACGATATCATAAGTGATCTACCATAACTTTTTTGGTCTACAATTAGCGCCACATTTATAGACACACAAACTGAAGCCCAAACATACACATTCAATGTGCAAAAACGCTCCCATGTTAGAAAAGTGGGAATAGTGAAGATCTATATACCCACGAAAGGGTTTCATTTTCAATGATTTTCTAAATTACATGAAAGCAAATTTAGTGTGCATAATATTAATATATTATTAATAATTATAATAACGTTTTTATACCATAGTCATTTTTTTTAATACAATTTTCCAAACTATTTGTACGTATTTTTTTGTAGTAGATAGCTTACGACATCTGCATTAGTGAACTAACCCTACGACACTGTTACCAATATGTTACCGGTGAACAACCAACTTCAACTATTTAGGTGGCAAATTAATGTCTTATATCATTAATGAAATCAGTGTAAAATATTTGGAATTCCACATTTCCACGTAAAAATTATAAATGTGTATACATTTTTAGGTTGACTACTCTAACGACTGTTTTAATGACTGGCCATCCACAGTGATTGTTATAGCCTTATAGGTACTAATTATTGGGGAACAATGATGTTTGCAATTTGTGAGCAAAATGTTTGGTTGGCCTATGTTCGTTTTTTATATTCGTATATTATTATACATTCACATTAGATAAAGTTAATGCTGTCTATTATTATGAAATGTGTTCAAAATGTATTCGGTATAAATAATTGATTCAAAAGTTTATAAAATTATAACTAATGCTTTAATTTCAAATGTGCGAAAAATTTTGAAATAAAAATAATGACACCCTCTCAAAATGATGTTAAAAAACTCTTTGGGATAGATACTTAGGGATATGACCTAATTTTTCATTTTAAAGCTATTCAAAAAAATTGCTTCGAAATAAGGTTAAACAAAAATGTTTTATTAAACTAACTCTTTTTTTTTCTATTAACTTTGACAATTTTTATATTCTGGACAAGGTTACAATAACAAAAATTAATAATACGACATTAACATTGATATTTACATATGATATTTATATATGTTGAACTTGTTACAGAACAATTTAGGTTGGCTAAGAATTAAGATTTTTATGGTTTTAAATATCTTAATTTAAAATATTTCTATGAATATTTCAACTCATTATTTACATTTAATAGGTAACAAATTATTCTAATAAATACATAAATATAATTTTGGTTATTTTATTAAATTAAATCACAGTCAATGAATTTTTAAATAATAAAATTATTTATACAAAATGATTGTGCGTATCTTATAGAAAGTTATATAAATTGAACATTTTACTATTCGAACAGGATGATTACTATACTGAATAAATTAGGTATTTAATACAAATAGTTATTACCTAATAAAAAAGTAAAATAATTAAATTGTAGAAACAGCAATTCAATTTTTCATCATTATCTTTTTTTAACTATTATGTAGGTACTAAATTACTTATTACATACCATTTATTAATTATTGATATTCATGAAGTCGGTTATCATATTGATTTTACTTTATATTATATATTAATAAGAATAAATATTATATTATAATTTATAATTAAGCCTGATATTAATATATGTTCAAGCAAAATAAATGTTTTTAAATTTAAACAAAACAAATGAAAGAGAAAATAATTAAGCTTAATCAATTTTACAATACTTGAATTTAATGCAACATTAATTTTGTTATTTATAAGAATATGTAGAAAATATCTTTAAAAATATTACTTACTAAATAAATTAATCTAAATAATACTATTTAAGGGTTCTGTTATTCATTGTACATTTTTTTTAATATCAGATTAACGTATCATTTTATAATATATTATTATTTACATCAAATTTAAGAGAATTCCACCCATTTATGTATTTTCTTACTTTTTGTCTAATAAGTGATAAATATTTGTTTATTGTACCCATACAATATAAAGGTACATACAACTTTATTTACAAGAGTTAATATGTAAATAATACCATTATATTATATTACGATATAAGCCTATAACTAATGTAAGCACTGAGCCACTATGAATAGTATAAATAGTTTTCATACTTAGTACAATATTTTTTTTTAATGTAAAAAAATGTATTAAAATTCTAATTATTTGCAATTCTATAAAAAAAAAAACATTTTTTTACAGTAATTTACAATAAGTATTATTCTTTACATAAATATCATAGTAATATGTGAATATAATAATACTAAACTAGGTACCTGCAGTATGTTAAGAAACATATACGATCACAAATCATAAAATAAAATAGTATAGGTATAACACCTAAATAATATTATATCGATCATAAAAATTAATTCTTATTGTCTTCAACAGCATAGTTTTAAAGTGACTATAGAATTGTACAACTAATTTAGTACGTATGTCGATAACATATTTTCATATTCTTCAAAACAAAATTCTTTCACAATTATTAAATAAATTCACAAAATATGTCACACTCTAATACTCTATATTATCTGCTACATTATAAACATATTGTAAGCATATATACTGCTCGCACACATTTATTAGTTAGCCCATAGAAAACTAATGTTTAAAATATCTCTCGGTAAATATTTAATAGAAGCTTATTATGAAAGTTGTGATATCGTATTAGAGAGAGAGAGATAGGGCAATTTAGTCCGATATAGGTGTTTACATACATGAAACTGTTCCGTCAAAGATAAGTAATAAATCGCTTTAAAGTATTTTTAAGTCATTATCACTTTTATATAGTAGGTAACCGTCATTGTTCGATAACTACATGTTATTCTAATTATTATGCATAGTATGTAGTTACACATATATTGTGATAATATATGCATAATACATTGGCTTTGTTTTATCATTATTTTAATTGGTTAAAATTGTATCGCATTAAGTTACTTGACATCCGCTATTGATCGACCGGGGTCTAAAATACACATTTAAGACTTTATTTGTATTTAATAGAAATTTATTTATACAGTATTATTCACAATCTGTACCAAATATTATATATTTAATATAAAAGTACAATAAGCAAATGAATACATTTATATTTTACAGTACTAAGTTGAATAGTAAGTGATCTAATGGCAGTACTAAGAAAATTAAAATTGAATATAATTTTTAAAAAAGTATATTTTGTTTTGTCTAGCTAAAAAAAATATTCGATAAGAATCTTTTTTCAAATGTAATGATTTTTCAATATTTATATATTAAATAATTTCCTCCTACAGATGGGTAAGAGTACAATAGCTATAAAGTAATGTAAGACATGACATGAGATAAATAAATAAATATTTTTTACATAAGCTACAAATTAGTTAGTTAATTCTATAAGTACTACATTATGATGATTGATGAAGATACAATGTTTTATTTTTGACTTATCGTCTGTAAATAAATTAAAATTATTTAAATCAATACTAGAGTTAAAAATTCAATATAAGAAGATACATAGAATAACATTGAACCACAAAAACTTGTAGTTTGGAATAGAAACAATGAAAATTACAAATATTGACTTGTGGTAGTTACAATTAAACATATCATTTGCAATTTTGTAATACATACGGACTATTAATGTGGCCATTAAAAAAATTACACACAAAAATCAATCAATTAAATTGGTTCTAGATTTTTAATGAGTTTATATTATATTCTATAGATGCTCAACCTCAAAAATTGGATGACCGGCCAAATACATTTTATGCGCTACCATGCAAAGGAAATTATGTCGTTTCAGTTTTTCAATTTTATATAATATCATACCTAATAGCCTAGGATTCCAGGCAACTGATCTGTATAACTTTAAATACGTTCATAATATTCCATCAACATAGATTGATTTTCAATATACGAATGCTCGCCGACCATCACGAGTTTTGTATTCATGTAAAAATTATCTATAATACGTAGGTTAGGTTATTCAGCCTGTGTATGTGTGTGCAAATATGTTACCTACCTTCAATAGTACATTACGCAATCCCGTTAGAAACACGCACGCAAAGCACCGGAGGACGGAGGTTGCGGATTGGCAACATTTTTTGCACAGGGCCAGAGCAACATCTGTTGGCGTCGTCGTCGTCGTCCAATACACTGCCGTTTGTTCGATTTTAATAACAATAATCAACGTAACATTTAAACATTCGGTACATATTATAATAATCAGCTATATTATTAACAATATAGAGTATAAATACATAATTATTACACGCGCTTTGGCCAATGGTCCAACGTACACGCGGCTTACCTGCCTGTATTATTATTATCGCTGGGTATACATTGCATTAGGCACAATAGCTACATGCCCGTTCGTGCGCACAATAAGTATATACAATATTATTTATCTCAGAGAACCGGTGCAAACAGTCACATTGCATGTGCTCGTAGATGCGATGCCAGCAAGTGAATTGCACTCCAACAAGTGCCGGGATTTTCAGCATTACCAGAGCACCTGATGAAGTACAATCAACAGGTGGTTTGAAAAACTTTGCCACACACTCGGAGATATAATAACGTTACTCGTACAGACTACAGATTATAGCTTAGATTACCCGAAATTATATTATAATATTATATCGTTACATTACACGCGTGTACATAGTAGGCTATACAACTGTAAAACATTCGATTCGATATCTACACTATGCGTGTAGTGTATGTTTGTGTGTATATACTTCACAACTGCGGTGGCGATGGTGGCGGAGTCATCGCGGCGACGACCACAGACGATTTGGTTAAATTTCCACGCGCTACTTCAGGTACCTGACTTCGTCAACATTAAAGAGTCTAAGAGTGCCTGTAGCAGCCCGTGAAAACAACCGATTTCTCGATATCGTATACACATATATTATACTCTCCTCTGCGGCTGTGCTGCGGCGGCGATGGAGGCGACGGCGACTGAGAGGAGTGCTCCTGCTGGAAATGTCGCGTGTATATTATTAAATTAATATTATGTGATGTGAATATTATTCGCAAACTCGAACAAACAAAATATTTAAAAAAAAACCGCTAATAGAAACCAGAAAAAAACGAGTTTTAGAACAAACAGATAAAAAAAAAACGTGCGACGATAGAAGTGTATAGGCGGCGGCATATGTGGCTAAAACGGGCCTGCACGAGACTGTACACTGACGTATAATGCTGTACTCTTAGTACACTCTAAATAAGTACATATTTTATACTATTATTATTATTATCATTCGACGCATAAAATATTCGTACTATATTCGGCGAAGTCTAAAAAGAGACGCGAGTGTGCGCGCCTGAATTGCGGTCGAACGTCATCGGCGCCGGTGACGGACAATGCGACGGCGACGGCGGAACTGCAGACGACTTGCGGCTCCCGCGGTGGTGTGTAAGTTGCCAACGCTTTTTCCCTATAATATATAGGTATAACACAATATTATATACATTTATATACGACGTGACGGATGTGTGCACAGAGAATGACGTCGAGGGTTTATATATTACATGTGTGCGATACTGCGATGTGTGTGTGTGTGTTTGTGTGACTGAAGTAATATGCAATAACTGCAGAATGAGTGGGCTCATGCAAGCACATATTATACACATCCACTGTCGAAAAGATTAATCATTGGGTTTTTTTTTTTTTTGGCATGACCAAACAATATTGTGCAACACGAACGCGGAAAAACGGTGGCGCGAGGTGACGCCTCGATAAACGCACGAGAAAAAAAAAATTCAAAAAACTAACACTCGTGAAAAGTACGTCCGTCGGCGCACTACGTACAATAGTATAGGCGGACTCGGAGCGAGAAGACCGTATGACGGCGGGTGAGCGGGCCCTCGAACTGCGGCGATTTCGCAATGTCGTGGACGGCCACCGGCACAGTGTTACCACCTCGAGAACTCGTTGTTCGTCCGCCGTCGACGCGTTACGCGCGCGCCGACACGCCGAGTACGCGTGTCGCCCACTATGCATACTGCAATCGAGCGATTAGATTAAATGGGCAAAACATATTATTATAACAGTACAGTGGCGAATCAGGGCGGTGATTCGGGTGTTGAAACACCCTCCTCCCAGCATAAATCGTACATTTATGCAAAAGTACACTTGTTATATGCTTCAGATTTCTACAAAATATGTTGTCATATATAATTCTAATTCATACTCGATGTTATATTACTATGAAGACTGATATCCCCTCCGCCCCTACAAGTTTTATTTAAAAATAATATTAAAACAGCCCCTCTCCAAAAAAAAAAAAGCATCCTGGCTGCGAGCCAGTAATAGCAACCCCATTCAGAGATTTCCGAATTTAACATACCAATATTATTGTATGAGCGCACAGCCTCATAGATAGTACCTATTCGGGCCGGACGATTTGAAAACAGAAAAGCCCCGAGGACAGACGAGTCACCGTCCGTCCGTCCGTCCAAACGTCACGCGCGCTACAGCCGGCACAAATACCTCCTCCAATGCCTAAACCACTGAATCCATACCACAACGTTGCCGATTATTAAACATAATTATACGAAGTCAAGCATTAAAAACGCAGTTAACCATCAATGCAACGATAAAACGCGCGCTATATGTCGAAAATAATGCACCACGCGCACTGCACCATGCAGTTGTACCCTCACCACTACCCACGCCCAGGCCACTCCTTCCGCTGTAGTGACGATTGCGACTCGGCTGAGTCCTTGTCCCGCATGTACAATATAAAATAATAATATTGTATTAGCGGAACAGCGACTATAAAATTATAATATTATTACACTGCGTTTTTACCACGTTGCACCGTTGCACTCGTAAACATGACGTATAACATATAGTATGCGTCGACGTCACACGTAAAATTCACATATTACACGTATTATTATATAGGTACGTTATGTATCCAACCATTAAAACCGAACTTATATTCTTACGATCGACACGCGCGCGCATTATTGTGAACAATTGCACACAGCGAGAATTTTATCTTTTTTTTTTGTTCTTATTTCGCGACGGAATACGGCGCATTTCGATCGCATGGACTTATGACCTCGCAGCACACAAAGGACGGAAATGGCGGAATAGATGCACGCATCTTACTCATAACATATCAACTGCAATACTGCACAGCCAGTGCATTATATCTATAGTAAAAGCAGAATTCTATGTCCAGCTAAATAAACTCCTGTGATATAATACTTATAATAACATAATTTTCACCTTGAATCCCATATTATTGTTGGTGAACTTTTGCAGAGTCCTTATAAACTTTAATCAGTCTTTCGGTGACATACGAAGCGCGACACACACAACACGGCAATGTAATAAATAAACCTATCAATGTGCCTCCCATTATAGTATTAACATTATATTATTTTAATAAAAACCAGAGTTGCGAGAACGACATCATAGACGAATGCGCAGAAAACGCGTTTAACGAGGTTGGCAAAGTAAATCAGCGAAATATTTGGCTCGAGTTCATATGAGTACAACTACAAGAGGTGAACCTATAGGCTATAGGCATAACATCTGTAGGCGCTCGCATTTAGTTATTCAGATTTGGTAAGAAAAAAAACACCACGTCTAACAGTATTTGTAAATTTTATATTCCGTTATTCGTCATTCGATTTCATATAATATGTTATGTTATATTGCATACACATCACGACACACTCGTATAATGTTATATACATACAATAAACACTGTACTTCAATGCTGTGCATGCACCATGTTGTGCGGCGATAAAGGTACGCAATAATAAATTCTGCGGAATATCGTGATTTGTCCCCAAGCTCAAAAAGCTGTACCGCGAGGACGGCACGGTACACTATACATACATATTACATACATGATATACATATTATTAACTTACCCGTGCTGAAAGTCTCGGTGGCGTTGTACGTGCGCAAATGACGGTTTGCTATATAATAGCGAGTGTATTATATAAGTGTGCGTGTATATTTAACCATGTATACGTGGTGACGACAGGCTTCAGCACAAAAGGGGTTGAAAAGGATTGGAGAAAAAAAATTGTCTGTCGCACACTCTTCGCAAGTCCATGTGTCAGTCTGCGAGAGAGCCGTCGACTAGGACGCCGCCGGTGGAATTTCTGCACGTACTTTTCCTCTCGCCATCTCTCCCACAAGCGACGGCGGCGAGTCAACGACGAGGCGCAGCGCAGCGCGCTCGGTGCAACGCAAACGAATGACCTTGCCACGTGCATGCACATTGCAATTTTTCGTTTCGCGAGTGCAACCCCCACCGCCACGACTCCTCCGGCCCGATGGTTTATGTTTATGTCGTATACGTTATTACTATTATTATACACACGACGAATAAATATAATATCATACATATATATGTATATACATACGTTTACTACATTACATCATTATATATGTGCAGGTGTGTGGGTGTGTGTGTCTCAGTATATACCTACACATTTTACTGTATGTGTATATATATATATATAATATGTGGTACGTAGGATTATCGCGGGGGCCTCTCTTGACTTACGGCGAAAAGTTCACTTTCCTCGTCCCACCGCCACCACCCTCACCCCTTCCATTCACGTCTGTCCTGCTTTGAGAACTTAATCTGGAGCCTTCGAATTTTAAAGCAGATCCTCCTACCTATATATATGTACTGACGATTCCGATCGATATGTCCTATAATATATGTGTGACTACAAACGATGTTTAAGCTCGGCTGCCAATCGGTCGTCCGGTACACTTATAATACAGTTATATTTTATATGGTATATACACATTATGATATAAGTAAACTCACGTCACCTCATCTATAAACGGCATGCATATTTTTCGCTAATACAAAGAGTAAAATGACCCCCCTCCCTCCATGCATTCTCACAACATTCCCATTCCTTTTTTTGCATGCCTTTCGACCGACGACTATAAAACGCGTGCAGTCTAGCGATCAAGATTCAAACAATACATTCGACGACGTCCTTAAGTGGGGACACTATTATTATTGCATCCACTTAATATAACACAGAGATTGTATGGAGAATAGAAATAACTCTTCTATACTCATATTTTTAATGTACAACTTTCTGTGTTTTGCATTTGTATGTTTGATTGATTGCATTAATTACAAACTTGACTGTATACGTACATTTGTACACAGCCTCAATTATGTTTGAATTGTGAAGCTCATTTAAAAGTGCAGGTAAAAAAAACTCAACTATATAAGTACCAAATTCAATATAAAGTGTATAAAACACTTACAACTAAATTGCCAAATCAGTAATATTGAGTGATCGTCCATTCGTCACATATTATATTCTTGTATAGAATAAAACTATGCAATATCTACAGAACTGGTGAAATATACATGATGTTTAATTTACTATACTCGTACCTTTTTGGCTATGTCTCTAAATGGCATATAAATTTAAAAGATGTCCAGTGTTTCTGGGAACCGGACCCATCTAACATTTAAGCAATTTATTATTTTTTCACTATCGACGCCATAAAAATACTGTAGGAATCCGTTTGCGTTTTCGTATCAGAAATCAAATTCACCACTTCATATTAAAGAATGCACTTTTTTTAATCTCACATAATAATATGCATGTAAATATATAATGTATATTGTATACGCGATAACCGTATTTTACTTTATTTTATTTTAAAATATACGGGCTAAGCCCTTTTGTACAATACACGTACTACTACAGGGTATTATTATGAATAATATAATTATATTATATAATATAGCATGCATCTGTGTGGTGTTTGTATCTCTCTATTAATTATCGTGAGATTTTTTTTTTAATTTTTTAGTGTGTATATAATTAAATAGCATTATAACTGAGAATTATAGAATATCTATTTATTTTCCTTTAAGATTTAATATTTATATCATATTTATTTTATCAAATCTATTCTGCAATCATTAATACGTAACAAACACAAATTTCTAATTCTATAGTGAATTCATAACAAACCCCTTTTTATTATGTATAGTGACTTCTAGATAAAATAAAATAAACTAACGACTGACTACCTAAATATATAATTCTAAAAAAAGTGAAACCATTTAAAC